GCCGTACGTGTTACCCGCGGGTACGGGGAAGCTGAATTTAAAATTGCGGGGTCACAAGTGGGTGGGGAACGTTACCCTAAATTTTCAGCTTCCTAGCTTTTGTGGTTCCCGAGTTGAAATGGGGTCACACGTGGGTGGGTAACGTTTCCCTAAATTTTCAGCTTCCTAGCTTTTGTGGTTCCCGAGTTGAAAGTTGCAGGTGGGGAACGTTCCCCTAAATTTTCAGCTTCCTAGCTTTTGTGGTTCCCGAGTTGAAAGTTGCGGTGGGGAACGTTACCCTAAATTTTCAGCTTCCTAGCTTTTGTGGTTCCCGAGTTGAAAGTTGCGGACCAAGTTGCTGCGGACACACACACACACACACAAACACACAACCCCGTAACAATATGCGTTTTGTACTGCTGTTACACAGCACAAAACGCATATAAATCTAACTCTCAGCAGCGATACGAAGAGCGTATCTGAGCATATCCACATTACACATTTCAAGCGTTTCCTTCCCCTCCCCCCTCCTTTCTGCGCATGCTCAGCTCATGTTGAAACGAATGCTAGGATCGTCAGCAAGCTTAGATGCAAAGCAACTGAAAAAGGTGCAAGCTACAGAGTTGGAGAACAAGGTATGAGCTACAGAGTATTCCTTATCAATTTAACTGATTCCGGGTCGCTCCACCTGGACCATCCATTTATGATTCGGTCTTCTACTGGCTGCTACTTATCATAACAGCTGATTCAAACTGTTTCAAAAAATGCTAAATGCAATCAGTTAATGCAAAGTTGTACATCCCAGGCTGTTTGGACGTCAATTTTTCGCTTCATTTCCTCCTACACATCTATCAGAGCTAACAGATTCATCTTTTCTTATACGTAACTGAACCGCACAAAGATTATCGTTGGGAAAAATGAAAGTCTGGACGCTTCGTATCGCCTGTTAATGGAAAAAATAACAAATTTTTCATCTAAAAATTTCTTCAATAAAAAAAGGAAAAAAAATGCGCACAATCTGTGCACATTTCGCCACATGCAACAACAGGTAATTAACGCTGTAGGCTCATCAAATGCAACAATAAGTTTCCAACATATGTCGCGCCAAATGCGGATTTCCAGCTGCCAGGTAGATAACTGCTAAATTGTGTGCTGCCATCGGCCGCAGACTGTATCTGTAAAATATGCACGATTTTAAATATGTGGAATTTCCAAATCAAAAATTCGTCGTTTCTTCACCAATATATCGCTAATTTGCATATATCGCTGCATGTCAGTAAAGGTCCCACACAACTCTTTACGAAAGATCAATCTGAATGCAAGAACTGGGGTGTCACTGTAAACATTAACTACAGGCTTTTCTTTTTTTTTTTCGAGCACACCCAACCGGAGTGTGATAAACCGGCCGGAAGTAAAACTCCTACGTAAGCAGCAGCGGAGAGGGGCGTTAAAAAAAATTTTCTTAAAAGCTACAAAAAGTAAGCGATGAGAAAAGCTGCACAAAAAGTAGGCAAGAAGTACAGTTCATCAGGATATTCCAGTTCTGTTTATAAACAGAGAAGCTATAAAAAAATTATAAGTGCGAAGAAGCAAAAATTTGCAATTTCCCCGACAACTATTTCTTAGCAGCACTGATGAGCCCTGACGAAGTTAAAGTTTTGACGTATAAAGTCGACAAGCTAAACAGATGGGTAAGCCAACCGTAGCATCCACGTTGACCCTAAAAGCATAAGTGGCGAAGGCGCAATGGAATACAGAAAGAAACAGCAATATGAGAAAGGAAGGCAAGAGTGAGATAAGACGTATCGGTCCAATAAGTTATATACTTCCTAAATCAGCACCGCGACAGGACCTCACCAGTATGACGGCTGCAGTGTTTAAAGAGGAAAAGAAAGAAGGCAACGGAAAAAAGGAAAAAAGGAAAAAGCTATGTCTGTGGGATTCAGCAGAAGTGAGAATGGGTGATGAGAAGATAAGGAGGCAAAAAGACTTAAAAAAGAGAAACTCTAGTTTTGATTTTAAGATTAAAATACTTGGCCAACGCACGGGCTGCAAATACTTGGCCAACGCACGGGCTGCCCGTGCGAAGATGCGTTTTTTGCATGGTTCCCTGCAGTTTTTGTTG